GAGAGAGAGAGAGAGAGAGAGAGAGAGAGAATCCCAGCCTGTGAAATATACCTTCATGACTCACAATTCCTGCTTACCCTAAAAGCAACATGAGTGCACACACATGTGCGCATACACACACACACATTATATATATATATATATATATATATATATATTTACACAGAGAAAAAATCACTAGATTGTTTTATGGTCATTCGCCTTTACGGATTCTAAGTTAGTTATAACCTGCAATGTTTCCAAATAAACAAAAGGCATAATCAGTAAAAATAGAGGCACATTCATGTGATCAAAAATCTGAAAACCACTGATTATGAATATAGTAATTAACATGATATCTATTTTGACATTCAGTGTGCCTTACTAAGTTTTACTTTGAAGTTGGAAAAGATAATCTTTTTTAAAAAATGTGTTTGTTTTATAAAATATTCTATTGACCCAGAGATAATAGGTTAAATATGCAGTTGGAACCAAAGATTTCTAAGTTATGTTGTGATTATGTCTCCTATTATGTTTCCAGCTAGTAAAAAAACATCAATACATCTCTCTCTCTCTTTTTCTTTTTTTAACTTAAAAGTTACATTTACCAAAATGGAAATGAATGTACCAACTTTCTGGTGGCTGTAAACATTAATTATAAGAAGACATAAAGGTAAAAGTGCCAAATCAGTACTTAAAAAATTAGGTAAGTCTTAGGAAAATATTCTTAGCCTGTAGTACGATGCAGAATACCAAAACAAGAGCATAGGAGAGTGGCGTGAACAAGTAAAATGCTATTTTTTCAATACATACATATTTCAGGAATAAGGATAGGCTCCAAAGCTATGTAGAGAATCCTGTCTCCGAAAAAATTAAAAAAAAAAAGGTCATTGTGTCTTTGTAGGTTTAACTTGGCAGTGTAATAAAGCATTGTTTGAGCACTCTGAAATCTAGCTTGCTCAAGCATAACTAGTACATAAAATAGGCAAAATATTTGTTGGAAATGTTAATGACTCTTCTTTAATATGTAGAAAACTCTGGTGGAACAAAATTCTATATTTAAAGCAAAAATACACAAATGAATAAATAATTGTTCTTGTCCTAAATTGTCTGATACAATTATTTTCTGTTTCAATTGCCTAATTGCTTTCATAGGAAATATGAATTTATTCCAGGTCAATATAATTGTTTTCACTTACTATTTATTAAATAATTTAATCATTAGATGAACTTCTAAATGGCAAGTAGTGGTAGCATTGTAAAGCATTTTAAACATCAAAGTGTCATTTATTGGAAATTAAAAGTAAAGCTCATAATTTTGTATACATTGAAATTGTATTGATTTGGGTGTAAGAACATAAATGCAACTTCTAAGTCCTCTTGTAAAAGAAAGTTAAAACAACAATGAAATTTCACTTCTTATCTGTAAAATAATTTAATTAAATGAACATGTAAAAAAACTAAAAAATATCATGCAGGCATACCATCAGAGATGTTGAAATATCACAGTACAGTAAATAAAACTCAAAATGAATGACAGTATTACATTTTTCTCTATTATAACTTCGCATTTTAAAATTACATTTTACATATCTGCATTTACAATACAGTTTTTCCTCTTGAGAAAATAATTTTATAAATACTAACTGGAAAGGCTTACAGTAGAATTCCATAAAATTATATATTTTCATTAGTGGCAGCTTAAGTAATACTTAGTAAACCCACACACAGAGAAGCATAAGTATCTCCCATATTTAGAATATAAGTATTTCTCCATAAGTATTCCCCCATATTTAGAGTACAAATATTCTCCTACATGTGTGGACTTATGTGCAGTTATGCATGTAAATGAGACATAGAAGATGAATAGATGTACGAGTCTGCTTCAATTTTTGTATCGATGAAATTACAGAGAGACTTGAACAGATTGGGGAGGGGAATTAAAAAGAGAAAGGATTATAGTAAATATATATATATATATTATAGTAAATATATATATGTTACTATAATATATATGCATATATATATACATACATATGTATGAATAGACATATGCATGGGCCCTAAGTATTTTTTTAATATTGGTCATTAGTAATTATCTGATCAAACATGCACTTGAGGTAAAGCTCTGTGTACAAAATGATTAAGCAAAATGGTTTCCAGGAGAACTGAGAATTAGAGGAGGAGGACTGTGGAAGCAGATGTCAATCAAATTCCTGATGATCAAGGCAATCTCTGGGCTGTAAGTAAATTCTAATAGAGCATTCTTTGCAAACAAAGAAAGTGGGCTTCCTTAGATAATTCCAGTTTATCTTTAGTTAGTTAAGTAGAATCATATGGACGGCTAGAAAAAAGTAATTAGAAACACTCTTGGTCCCTTCGAATGACTACAGTTGCCTAAGTTTAGATTCATAAAGAAAGATACGTAATGGTGGATAGATAGATAGATGATAGATAGATAGATGATAGATAGATAGATGATAGATAGATAGATGATAGATAGATAGATGATAGATAGATAGATGATAGATAGATAGATGATAGATAGATAGATGATAGATAGATAGATGATAGATAGATAGATGATAGATAGATAGATGATAGATAGATAGATGATAGATAGATAGATAGATAGATAGATAGATAGATAGAGATAGATAGATAGATAGATAGATAGATAGATAGATAGATAGATAGATAAAGTTAGGTAGACATATTATAGACAAACAGATAGGTAAATAGATAGATAGAAATTGTAGATACAGATGTCACTATTAAAGCCTTTAAAACAAAATTGGTGGGAAGAACCAGAAGTAAAGCTGATTTGGGTGATCTTTTGGAATACAAACCATTGAATAAAGTACCAAAGTGGTAGAAGAACTATTGGAAAACACACCATGGCTCTTTTGTTAACATCCAGGTTCTCTTTGGGTTTTTGTACTAGTGCCAATTTCATGACTTTTAGACCAGACATTATCTTTCACTCAAAGTTGAAGATGGTGCCTCTGACGATTCTGACTGTGCTTGGGACCTTTTCCTCTACTGGATTGCCAGCCATGATATGAAGGTGTGGGCCCAGTCTTACTGTATCTTGTTAGTCCATTCTTGTTGTATGTCTCTGGGAGACCTGCTTTTTTTTTATAGGGAAACTAAGAAGGATTTGGTCTAGGTGAGAAAGAAGGGAGTTGGTAGAGTGGAAGGAGATGATGTAATGTATGAATGAAGAATAAAATTTTAAAACTTGATGCCCATAAATTGGTTCACATAGAAACAATGTATCTAGTATTCTATGAGGGATTTGGGTTGTTCTGTTAAGTTCTAGTTGTTTAACATGCTTTCTTCTATAAATAAAAAAGAAGTCAGTCTGCTTAGAAGTCAAACAACACATGGTTGTTATCAGCATCTTTTCTCACAGATTGTGACTTATCAAAAGGAAGCATTGTGTACAAAGATTCGAATGAATCTCAAAATTTAACTAAATTTATTTCATGAATAGCCTTTGTTATATTAGT